ATTAAGAGTGATTGACAGGCCTGGGGAATATATGTCAGTGGTCGAGTTGTTGCATAGCTCGTGACTGGCCTGGGTTCCATTCATCGGGGAGGGGGAGGGCAGGAGGAAGAAGGAAGAGAAGCAGACAGAGGGAGGGAGGGAAGGAGAGGGACATTATAGGTACTAAATGAATATCTGTTGAGAAAATGATTTGGGTTCATTCAATCAAGGAAGCAGAGGTGAGGAAAAACCCAAGGTAAAAATCACCTGGGCTAGGAAGGTGGCTCAGGGGTAAGAGCACTTGCTGTGCTCCTGGGGACCTTAGTCCAGATCTCCAGCAGCCACATAAAAATCAGGCATGGTGAATGTACCTCTAACGCTAGGCTCTAGAGGTGGAGCTGAGTGGGTCATAGCAGAGTGTTGGCCAGCCTGCTTAACTTAAACAGTGAGCTTCAGACAGTGGGAGAACCTGCCTTAAGAGAACAGGAGAAGAGCGACAGAGCAGACACCCAACATCCCCCTCTGGCACACACACTCATGCACGCACACACATAACTGAGTCACCTAAGTGAAAATATGCCTACGCTAAGCAAGAGAGAGAAATAACAGGACAAAGATGGTGTGGTGCTGAGACAAGGGTAAAGGGGTTCTGTTCTGTCCACCTCAAATGCATGCCAGGAGGACATCAAAGGACATCACCAAGCGGGAGGATGTTGGTGAGTCACTATTGTGGACTGACTATAACCAATGCTCCTGCTTTAGTAAGCAAACACTGGAACCAGTTTCCTCCTTGATAAAAAACTGCTTTGCTGGGAACCAATCTTCCCAGAAAAAGGAAGGAACCAGAAAAACTTCCAGTGAGGTAGGTAATACTGTAATCCTTTCTTCCTTAGGTATTGGGGAAAAAAAAAAACGCTTAAATAATGCTTAAATCTCTGCCAACAGGACACCACCCAGGTTTTTTTTTTTTTTTTTTTTTTTTTAAATCATGCCCAGACTGACACATTCCTTCTGTTATTACAGGCTCACCATGCAGGTCAAACAGACCGGAAACAAAGGGCTGGTACTACTGTTCATTGCTATTAGCAACCAGGGCAACAAAACAAACTACAGGGAGGTGAACTCACTTGGTGTTCGGGTCCTTCAGCTTTCCCTTGGCTGCCAGGTACTCCTGGAGTTTTCTCCATCGTTCTTCTGCAAAACGTGGGCACGAGCAAACAACAGAAACTTAACTTGAGGTTTTAACCAGTCCCTTTATGATCCTAAAAGACCATACGTTCCTGTAGCTATTTGGGCTTTGGGAAAGTCAAGGCCAGTCCTGTTGTCCTCGCTTTCAAACTAATATCAACACCAACTATCAGCTTGGTGCCAAGCTGTTAGTAAGCTGTTTACAATAACACAATAATCCTATGAGGTATTTTGCTGTTTGAGAGGGTAAGTGACATTCTTAACTTTACCCACTAATAGGCAGCAAAGCCAGGATTCGAAAGCAAGATTTTTTTTTAACCCTCGAGTAGGTAGCGCCTAGGACGGGGTACAGAACAACAAACAGAGCTCATGAGTGACGACGCCGCATGCATCTTGAAGGTGACATGGGGGTGGGGCATTCTGAAGAGCTAGCAAGGGCTCCAGGCCCGTCACAGAGATCAGGGTCCACAGCATCCTTACGCCTCGGCCCACGTTTAAGCAATCAACCTCTAGACAGCGCACACTTTATCAGTCGACCTGCAGAGGTGCAGGGACTCGGACTGAGACAGAACCGGTCTCCTCCTGACTCCTGTCAAAGTTCCTGCCATAACCAGCCATGCCTGGGTGTCCACCGGCGGCAACGGAGCGCATGGCTCCTCGCTGTGTGACCCGGGTCTAGCGTCCCGAACCTATCCGAGGCCGGGGCAGGCTGAAGCAGGCAGGGGGCGGCCTGGCAGCTCCTGCGGGAGGCTGGCGACCACACTTACCCGCGGCTGCGCTGGCAGTTGGGCCCGGCCCCACCATGGCTCCGCGGCGACAGCTTCTTCCTTCAAAGGACGCGCCCTGTGCTGGTAGGAGCCGCGGGCGCGCGTCCGGGCGCTCCCATTGGTTCCGCGACTTTGAAATCCGCCAACCGGAAGGCAGAGAGGGCGGGATAACAGGAAACCAGCGCCTTGCGGTTGGCCCCGGGGGCTGCTCGAGGCGCTGCGATTGGAGGATCGTGTGGGGGCGGGGCCAGGCTCCGAGAGGTGGGCCCCGTGGCCGGGTCACTTCCGTGGCGGTGTGTCAGGGCCGGATCCTGTGGCTAAGGCCGGAGCTGGCCGTCGGGCGCGCAGAGAAGGTCTTGTTTTGTAGCCGGATTTGGGCTAAGGACAGTTGTGGCAGTTGGACGACAGGGAGAAACAATGCTCCGTATCAGTTAGGCTGGCTTTGGCTGCAAATAATAGCGTGCCAAATGAAATTGGTCCGCAGTCGTTATCGTTTTCATTCTGTGGCCAAGTACCTGAATGAAACAAGTTACGGTTTCAGAGGGTTCAATTCAGGGTTGCTTGGTCTCTTCCCTTGGGCAGAGCATCCTGGTAGAGGGAATGTGTGGCCGATGCTGTTCTTTACATCTTTGTGGACAGGAAGCAGAGGAAGGAGTGTAGGAAGAGGCCAGGGCAAGATAGAGCCCCCCCAGTGATGTAGCCTGCTAAAGATCGAGTTCATCAACTAGGCCCCCTCCTCTTACCAGTTCCCAACAATGCGCTCATTTCCTGTTATCCCGCCCTCTCTGCCTTCCGGTGGCCATCACATGACAAAATCATTGAAGGATCACTCCATTGATTAGGCCATGATCAAATTGTTTCTGGAAATGTTCTCAGAAAAACATTCAGAGATTAAAGAAAAGAGAGAAAAGATGGTGAGGAGTGGAGAAGAATGTTATGGAGGGTTAGAAAAGTTAAAAAGAAAAGAACAAAAAAAAAATTTCCCAATGAGAAAATTAAAAAAAAACAAAATTAGATAAATCTAAGAATAGAAGTAAAACATGAAAACAATAGCTTATTTAAACAGAATAACATCAATAAGGTAAAGTTAAAATGCTAACAATAGCCCACTAGAAAGAAAAAAGAATCATAGAAAAAAGAGAAGAAAGAAAGGAAGGAAGGAAGAAAGAATCACCATTATGAATAAGAATAATTAGGTGAGTTTGAAGGGCAATAAAAAAATCACAAAAGGGTTCTTTTTGTTATTTATTGTTGTTTTTAATATGATAAAAAGGGATGAGATGGCTCAGGGCTAAGAGCATGTACTGCTTTTGCAGGCAACCAGAGTTGGTTCCTGGTATTCATATTAGGCAACTCAAAACTGCCTGTAACTCCAGTTCCTTGGGGTCTGACACCCTGACATCTCTTTGTTGTATGGCAAAACATTTCCTGGGGAGGCATAGCACACATGTCTACTCACTTCAGATAGGGATTCCATGACAGACCAAATAAGGATACCACCAAAGTCCAACTTGGTGGACCAATGAGTTTTACTGGGGTTACATACAAGGATACAGGTGAGGAGTTACTGTGCATTTCAGCTATTCTAGTCTTTGTGAGTTTCCAAGGCTTTTGCTTTTTCTTTCTTTCTTTCTTTTTTTTTTTTTTGAGGTAGTTTTATTATTTCTTATTCTGAGTTTTTCCTTCACTAGGCCACAGGAAAGCAACTTCTAGTTTGCTATAAAACCACTACTTGTTTTTGATGGTACTTTGTATGAGTTTGTATGGACAGATGTCAGCATACACATGCACTGAACACATATGTTTTATTTGTTTGTTTGTTTTGAAACAGAGTTTCTCTGTGTAGCTTTGCGCCTTTCCTGGAACTCACTCTGTAGCCCAGGCTGGCCTCGAACTCACTGAGATCCGCCTGGCTCTGCTTCCCAAGTGCTGAGATTAAAGGCATGTGCTGCTGCCGCCCGGCTGTATTATATGTTTTAACTGAGCCTGGGGATATAATTTTTAGTACTATCTTGAATACTGGCAGCTAACAAAAAAGAAAGAAAAACTATGAAATATGTATTTTTTAAATGTATTTTTGAGATAACAATGAAACATAACATAAAGGATAAGAAGACAGAACAAAACTCATCAAAGTTGAACAAAACAAGACAACAGAAAAATAAAAGAGCCCAAAGAGAAGGCACAAGAATCAGAGACCTACTTGTTTACATATTCAGGAGTCCTACAAAAATACCAGGTCCTATGCAGAGGACCTGGTGCAGACCCATGTGGGCCCTGTGACTACTTCTTCAGTCTCTGTGAATTTATGTTAGCTTTGTTCAGTTGTTTTAGAGGGCCTTGTTCTAATGTCCTTGATACCCTCTGTCTTCTCAACTCCTGCCAACACATCCACGGGGTTCACTGAACTCTGCGGGGAGGGATTTGATGGAGACATCTCCTTGAGAGCTGTGTGGGAACCTGGTTTTGTAAAGTGACACTAACTGCAGTGGGTTATATGACTGTCTACTCAGTTGTTCCTAACAGTCAGGTAACGAAGACAGCAAATGACAGAACAACCCCTTCACAGTATTAAAAAAAAAAAAAAAAGCAAAACGATTGTTGTGGGATAATCTTTTTGTACACTGTGAAGATGTGTCTCTGCCAAGGCACCTTCTAATTGGTTAATAAAGAGCTGAATGGCCAATAGGTAGGCAGGAGAGGATAGGCAGGACTTCCAGGAAGAGATGGGAACTTTGAGAAGAAGAGAGGTGGAATTCATCAGCAAGACATGGGGAGATAGGATGTATAGTATGGAGGAGAGGCAATGAGCCACATGGCAGAACATAGATTAATATAAACGGGTTAATTTAAGTTATAAGAGCTAGTTGGGAACAAGCCTAAGCTAAGGCCAACCTTTCATAATTAATAAGAAATCTCATGTCATTATTTGGGAGCTGGTAGTCCAAACAAAGTCCGACAACAAACAACCTTCCCATTGCATAACCCAAGCAAAAAAGATAACAAATAAATATATATCAGTTCAAACTTGTTTTATTTAATTATGATCAACAACAATGTACTGATTATTATTGTTGATAGTCATGTGGCACTGAGGTTTGAGAACAAATTTGAAACCCAGACTGATTACATTCTAGAAAGGAAACTTCAAGTAACAGTGATGTGGTTGTCACAGTTAAGATATTTCCATCTTTGGAGTGTTGGATTTAATTACAGGTGAGGTTGAATGATGTAAGAATACGCAGATAGCTTTAGGGACAGAAGGGTGAAAGACTGGCCCAATTATCATTTTAAATGAACAAAGTAAACAATACAGATTCGTGGTCTAATTACAGGGCTCCCAAGAATGAGGATGTAGAGAGAACTTCATGGCTGTGGAAAAAGCATAATGTCTACAGCATGGTGTTCTGGAGCAGCTACAGCTAACTGATTCTACCTAGAACACCGTACTGCTGAGGATACTGGTCAAGCTCAGAGGATTTAAGGATGTGTCATAAATAATATAATTATCATAAATATATTTATAAATACATATATAAAATAACTTAAAAATAACATTCAACATTCTGTCTTCTTCTTGAGGTTTGTTACAGGAGGATTTCATCCAAATGATCTCATTGGAATAAAACCCACTGAGGTAGGAAAGATGTAGCTATTGTCCCCTTCCTTTTGAAAATGATAGAGTTTAAGTTTTTATAACTTTATCCTACTCAATCAGCAATTTGGAAGCAGAAGGCACACAGTTAGATTGACATCATGGGTCTGTGGATTCTCATTCCAATTGCTATTAAGTGTGGTTTTTAGTTTGTTTTTTTTTTTATGCTGTAGTTAACCCATCTGTAATATGGGTAGAGTCTTTTGATCACAACAGCTCTGTTCCTCCTAAGAATGTCCTGAAGAATAATAATTAAAGGGATTAGTACTGTGCAAAGTATAGGGTGCTCTTTAAATAACAACCTTATATGTCGGGGTTGATTGCATTAGGCTTTGCTCTTCTCTCACAAAGAGGGTAAACATTCATTTAGAATGACAAAGGCTCAGCACATGCTGGGCAGGTGACTCAGGGTGAAGAACCTTCCTGTACATGGTACATACAGATTGTCAGCACTTCTCGAGTCAGTAGACTCCAGAAATAAGGCTGCTCTTATGGTATCTGGAAGTCTGTCATCGAGGGCAGCCCCCTGGCCAGGTGCACCCGACTTTGTTCTTTTGTGGCAATGAACAGCTCTGGATAGGCAGCTGATGTGAAGTAGTTCTTAGAGTTGACCGTTTTCCAGAAGAAAATGAGGTCGATCTCACTCCCTGTGATGACTTTTGGTGTTTCAGGTATCTCCTGTGATAAGCAAAACAGAATTCTGTTAGTACATAAGAAGGTGTTGGAAAAAAACTGAAGTGTAACAACCCTCTGGTGTCTGGCCTTCATGAAAAATAGCACTCTAGAAGCCTGACTCAGATATGATCCACTCCTTCATTTGTTCACTCAACAAACATTTACCACATGCCTATTCGATGTATAGTCCAGACTACTCATAAAAGCTGATTTCTTTAGTTAATTGGAGAGAAATCTAAATGAATCATGAAGACTGTCAATGATGCCAGCATCTCCCTGTATCCAGACAAGCGGGGTGAAACACTGCACGTGTGTATCCTGTCTCTAATGCGGGCACAGGGTACTCTCACCAAATCTGAACACGGATGATTCTAAGACCTCCCAACATTCTGACCCCCAAGCATACAAACTACACCTTTCTGGAAGCGGTAGAGCATAGAGATGATATTTATCTTTGTATTTCAGTAAAAATCTGAAAGTTAACCATACTCCCCTCCCCCTAAAAAAAACCAAATAACTGAAACCCCACAATGCTTCCCTGATAGATTAATTGCTGACTGTTGAACACAACCTTTTAAGACTGTCCTCTTCCTTTGACTCTGAATAAACTCTAACAATAAATAACCTTCATGGAAAAATACACTTCAAATTCTGTTTGTTAAAACTCCCTTTTGTACTCTTTTTAATCCGCAAATCTACAAGTAAATAGCCAGATCAGCTTCCTTGGGGTGTCAACATCAGCAAGAACAGTACTCTTCAGACCTGTTCATCTCCTGCTTTTACCCTTTCCTTTGGCTGTTCTGCCTCCAGACGACTCTACAAGGTCTGCTCCCTTCTGTGTGCCCACCTTATTCTTCCCCACACTTCACCTCTAACTTCCCAGCTGAGCTTTCTGCTTTTGCTAATGCTTTCCTTCTAGACCATCATCCATTTACAAAATGTAACTGGTACCAGCACCCTGCACTGTCTGCAACCTTTAGTGCCTTTCAACCGTATATCAAATATACAGGAGTGCTCGCTGACCCTTGGAGCTGGCCTGTGGACTCATGGATGGAGATCTAGGGAACTCAGATTCTAAGAGGTGTAGGATGACCCGTCCTGACGTCTTATTAGCTGGTCTTGTCTCTCAGGGAGCTCTGCTCTTGTCCCTCCCTCTAAATAACACTTTGCCATTTTTCTCTCTTAGTACCTTGTTCATTTTCTGTCCAACATTTACCTTTTTGTTGTTGACTCTCTGACTTATCTGTTGTCTGTGTACTGTGTACTAGAGTACTATGTCCCATAAGGTTAGGGAATTGGCTTGCCATTCTCCATAGCTTAATGCTGTGCTTGAAAAAGAGAAGGCTCTCGGTAAATAATAGCTTGTTGAATGAATTCATGAATGAAGCTACTGCCCTACTTAGTGGGTGACACTTTCATTTCATTTGATTCAGACAGAGAAATACAAGTGCCCACATACATTTTAGGTGGAAACTGGAAGCATTGGATTATACATTTACTAAATGAGAGTCAT